TTCAGATTTTCTATTTCTCCTTGAGTCACTTTTGGTAAGCTGTAATTTTTGGAGAATTTGTCCAGTTTATGTTGTTGAATTTATGTTATAAAGATGCTTGTAATAATCCCTTTTCTTTTTTTTTTTAAAGATTTTATTTATTTATTTGACAGAGAGATAGAGAGAGCACAAGTAGGCAGAGTGGCAGGCAGAGGGAGAGGGAGAAGCAGGCTCTCCGCTGAGCAGGGAGCGGACGCAGGGCTCGATCCCAGGACCCCAAGATCATGACCCAAGCCGAAGGCAGCTGCCTAACCAACTGAGCCACCCAGGCGCCCCTCCCTTATTTTTCTTTTAACGTGTATAGGAACTATAGTGCCATCTCCCTTTTATATCTGATGTTAATTTGAGTTTTTTTCTCATTTTCTTGATCAGTCTTGCTAGGGGTTTATTCATTTTAAATATTAATTTTTTTTCTATTTATTGATGTCTGTTCTTGATTTTACTCTTCTTTCTGCTTACTCTGGGTTTATTTTCCTCATTTTTTTTCTAGTTTATTACGTCAGAAACTTAGACATTGATTTTACACTATTCATTTTGAGATACTTTATCATTTCCTCTGTGATTTCTTGTCTCATTGGTTATTTAGAAGTATGTTGTTAAATTTCTAAATATTTGGGGATTTTATTTGTATCGATTTCTCATTTAGTTCCATTATCCCAGATAACATTTTCTATAAGATTTTAATATTTTGAAACCTTCAGACTTGGTTTTATGGCCCAGAGTATGGTCCTTGTGTACTTGAGAAGAATATATATTCTGCAGTTATTGGGTAGTAGTCTATAAATTGTGAGTGGATCAAGTTGGCTGACAGTGTCATTGAAATCTACACACTTGGTTTTTATCTGCTTGTTCTAATACTTATTGAGAGGTGTTAAAATCTCCAGCTATGATTATTTGCCTATTTATCTCTTTAGTTCTATGTTTTTGACTCATGTATTTTTTTCACTTAAAAAACTTTATTTTGAAATTTTTCATTCTTTTAAAAAATATGTAGTAGTGAAGTACGGTTGATATACAATGTTGCATTTGTTTCAGGTGTACAACATAGTGATTTGACAATGATTCGTGTAATTTGAGCCTCTGTTACTAGGTATATACACACTTAGGATTATTTTATCTTCCCAGAAATTGGTCTCCTTTTATGTTTATCAAATGGCCCTCTGGTAACATTTCTGGTCTTGAAGTCTGCTCTACCTCACATTAATATACCCACTCCAGCTTTCTTATGCCACATGGTTACATGGTATATATTTTTCTTTCTTTTTTTTCCATGGTATATATTTTTCTATCCTTTCACTTTCAATCTGTGTCTTTGTATTCACATAACCCTCTTGTAGATAGCATACTGTTGGGTCTCACTTTTTATTTGATCTGGTAGTTTCTGCCTTTTTTAAAAAGAAATGCTCAGTCCATTTAAAATAATGTAATTATTGATATGACTGACTTTAGGTATAGCATTTTGCTTTTCAAAAAAATTTAATTTGATTTGTGTTTTTGGTTCAGTTCTACAGCACAATGATTCGATATTTGTATAGTACACTGTGAAATGAAAACCACATGTCTAGTTAACATCTATCACCTTACAAAATTATAAACTTTCTTTTCTTGTGATGAGAACTTTTAAGACCTACTCTCTTAGCAAGTTTCAAATATGCAATACAGTATTATTAACTATAGTCACCATGCTGTATATTTCCATGACTTACAAATTTTCTAACTGGAAGTTTTTATCTTTTGACCCCTTTCTTCCATTTCTCCCATACCCCACCTCCCACCTCTTGCAACCATCAACGTGTTCTCTGTATCTATGAGATTGGTTTTTGTTTTGTTTTTAGTTTTTTTTAGATTCCACATACAAGTGAGATCATACAGTATTTTTCTTTCTCTGCTTAACTTACTGCTTCTTTTTTTAGCAGCCTAACACAACATCCATTTTATTTTCTTATATTGCTTTTTTTAAAAATTTTAATTAAAATTTTTTTAAAATTTGAGTATAGTTGACACACAATGTTACATTAGTTTCAGGTTTATGACATAGTCCAACTTCTCTATACATTATGTATGCTTACCACCAGTGTAGCTACCATCTGTCACCATATAACACTTTTATGATATCACTTACTATAGTCTCTAAGCTGTGCCTTTTATCCCCACTTGTTCCATTAAAAAAAAAAAAATATTGTTTTTCTTTCCTGCCTTCTTATTGGTTGATAAAATAATTTTTTAGTATTTCATTTATTTTATAAATTGTGTTTTCAGCTATTGCTCATGATGGGGATTTTGTTTTAAAAGTAAGAACATGGGGGGCGCCTGGGTGGCTCAGTCGTTAAGCGTCTGCCTTTGGGTCAGGTCATGATCCTGGGGTCCTGGGATCGAGCCCCAAGTCAGGCTCCCTGCTCAGCAGGAAGCCTGCTTCTCCCTCTCCCACTCCCCCTGCTTGTGTTCCTGCACTTGTTGTCTCTCTCTCTGTCAAATAAATAAATAAAATCTTTAGAAAAAATAAAAAATAAAAAAAACAAAAGTAAGAACATGGGGATCAGGTGGAATAATTAAATTCACTTAGAATAATATTTACCAATAAGGATATCTAAAGCTGCTTATGGAGACCTACATGAGCAGCAGACGTATCTAGAAGCAAAACTGAAACACGTGAGTCATGGCTGAAAATCTAGAGCTGGATCTGCAAGCATTTGGATATTCTCCTTGAATAAGTCGTAAGATGTAAATCCTCGTATCACTGTCCTTCTTTCAAGGCACTCAGTATGTGAGCAATTTCAATGTTCACTTATTTGTTCAAACTTCATTTCCTGAAATGTGTTCAAGGTGGGGTAACCAATACAAAGGATAAAAGATGAAGGAGAAAAGGTTCCTAACTTCAGTAGCATACAATATAGTCGAAAGGATAGGATAGGTACAGAAATAACTAATTCTTATAAAGCACATAGTATCTGTAGTATCTGACATATAGTTCAATAAATGTTAGTAATAAAATTTTAAATTCTTATCATGCACATAATAATGTGTTCAGTACCCTAAATTAAAAACTGTAAAGAAAAAAACACCTAATATCAATTTGGAAGAATACTGTATCTTACTAGAGGGTGGCAGGGGGATCAGCAGGACTTTTATGAATGAGGTGGCATTTAAGCTGGTTATTGAAAGATGGGCAGAAGATTCTAATAGAGATGTAAGCAGAAGGCATAACAAGAAATGGAACAATGAGCAAATGTATGGAGGCAGGAACACGTAAGTGAGTGTTTAAGAGCCAGTGAGTATTTTACATGTAAACACGGGGTTCATACAGGTAAAAGTATATAGTGAGGCTGGAAAGTGGGTTTGGACCCATGCCGTCAAGTACCTTATATGCTAGACTAAGAAGCTGGAAGTTAATTCAGTAGCAATAGGAAGTCAAGTTTCTGAACAGGGAAATTAAGTGATGAAAGTGATACTTGATGAAGCTTTATTTGAAAGGAGTACATAAAGTCTACAAGACCGCATGGATTGGGGCAGAGTTTCCCTACTAGGTATGTCAAGAATGGGTTAGAGGTGTGCTTAAAAATGAATCTCTTTAGCCCTCAGCGCTCTGGGGGCTTGGCACAGCTGTAACCTCAAGGCCAGTTATATCTAGCTATAAGGAGTTGCGATTTTTTAGCTCAGTATGCTATACAAGTTTTTATAATTTTCTAAGTGTGCTATGATATGAAAGAAGCATTAAACTAAAAACCCAGAGAAGACCAGGAAGGGTAGTAATATAGACATGATGCCATGAGCAACTGAAGGGTCTTTGGGGTAACAATGGCAGGAAGGAATTTGAGACTGATGGATGTGAGAAAACATCACGAAGGCAGAATTAGCAGGATGTAGACTGATCGTACAGAAAATATGCTTTAAAATATCTGTGGAGAAATTCCAAGATTTAAAAAAGTCCAGGGTACGGAGAAGCTAATAGGTAGTAGAGGTACACAGAGGTCATCAGAATTGAGAAGAGAAACTCTGATATCCAAGTAACTAGTATGGAGGTTAAAGTAATTGAAGACGGTGGCCGAGAGAAAGGAAATTATGGTCACTTTTTCTTACTGAGTACCTCCAAAACCTTCAAGAAAGATATAAAAGTCTCTCAGGAATAAACACAATTGCTCAGGAACCTCTTGCTCACTCAAGTCCTCTTCTCTGGCTTCCAGCACGGACTAAACACTGTTAAGGGGATGGGGTAGACATGGGCGAAGGAGGAGATGCTGGCGCATAGGCCACAGCTGACACCAGAATTGCAGAGGAAAGAGGGAGGAAGGGCATGAGCACGAGAGGGAGATGGGTTCCATTTTATTTATTTTTAAATATTTTTATTGTTATGTTAATCACCATACATTACATCATTAGTTTTTGATGTAGTGTTCCATGATTCATTGTGTATAACACCTAGTTTTTCCCCCCATTTCTTAAAAATATCTTAAATACCTTTTAAATAGTTTTTAGTGGAAAGCTGAGGTTTAAGACATACACAGAGTTGGGCAGCCATGGATACCATTTTATTTTACCTGACTGTGGAGTAAAAAACAAAACAAAACAAAAACAAAAACAAAAAACCCCAAACACAGTGATGAGGAGGTTTCTAACCATACAAACTCCACAACATGCAGTTGGAGCCATGGTTTTACTGATTTTTTGAATTCTACAGAAAGGACTAGAAGCTCTACTACTTTTAGTACAAGAAAAATGTATTCTATTTGGAAGCGAGAATGAGAATTTTTAGAGAGAAAGAAGGAAAGAAGTAGCAGTTCCTGTAGGAATTTTCATTTTTTTCAAAGTAAAATCTTTTCTCTGTTAACTGTATCCTACGGGACATCAGCTATGGCACATTTGGCTCTGGCAATGTGATAAAAATCATCATTTCTATGGCACACTCTAGGTGAACCTGGGCTCCAAAGCTTCCACCTTTCGCCTTCTGTGCACCCCATCTGTACCTTTGTGGAGATTCTCCAGCGGCTCCAGGACTCCCCTCCGGAAGGAGGCCATGGGGTCTTGAACACAGGACCGAAGGCTCAGCATGCTCTGTAAGTGAGGCTCCCGAAGAAGCTGCTCCCGATAGGCCGTCAGCTGAGGTGAGCGGCAGAGCAGGGCAGCAACATTGTGGACAAATTCTGGGACCAGGCAGGTGTAGGCATTATCTGCTTGGCAATAGTGATAGGCAACCACCTACAACAGAAAGATGAGAATGCGAACAGGTTTACCAGGAGCAAGAACAATAGCCATGGTTACTGTATGATCATTCTCTAACATTGTCTTCCGTCTCCCCATTCCTCAACTTCTTCAAGTAAAAACAAAAGCTGCTATCTCAGAAACTGCCTGATCTAAGATCAGAAATTTGATACACTATTTCTATCGTATACACATATCATAATTCACAATTAAAATTTATAAATGCAAATTGAGTTTTGGATTATAAGATTCCTTTGCAGAATTTGGGTTTTAGATTATAAGAAAAAGGAAACAAGCCTGAGAATAAAGATTTACATTTATCTCTCTAATATTTATTCAGCATGGAACAGTACAGGAAAAAATCCAATCTTGTAATAAAGCATTAGGAATAAAATGATCCCAGAAAAACCTTGTTAATCTCAATAAACACATATACTTACTAACTCCTTACTTTTAAAAATTAATGTTGTTGTAAATAGCTTTATAAAAAATAATTCAGATTTAAGAATTATCATTAGTATTTTCTAGCACCCAGACACAACCAGAATTAGATGACAGGAAAAAGGAAACGACTGAGATTTTTGTTAGCTGCAGGTCTTAAATTCAAAGAACTTGGAAAACGTGTGAGTCTTAATATCATCCATCCATCTGGGCTGTCTGGCTGGAACCTGGTTTTAACCTCTGGGTTTCTTGTTTGTTTGTCTGAATTTGCCTAGAGCTCATTCCATACCTTCTGGTTGTTCTCTTTGCCTCAAGGGTAAGTGCAGAGGGTGATTTTAATCTACAGCACTCTGCTGGCTCAGTACTCACGAAAGTGAAGTGACTGAGGAGATAACATGAAATTGGCAGGGGAGATTCAGCTTGAATGTATGGAAAGTACTTGGCATGGTGCTCAGCACAAAGAAGGTGCACAGTGATGTCAGCTGATGCTGCCATCATCATCATCATCATCATTGCCTTCCCCTTCTCCTCCTCTTCCTCTCCATCATTATCATCATCGCTTTGTGTCTTTAGGCAGGTGAAAATTACCCTAGGAGCATTCATAGATATACTACTGGGACTCCAGCTCTTCTATCATCTCTCAGAAAACAGTCATCCACTAAAGTGTTCTATTTTGAAAAGACTCCTAATCTATAGGTATGGTCATTCTTGCTCTTTAACAAATACTAGAAATGTCACTTTTTTTTTTAAACATTTTTTTTTTAAAAACCTGAAATCCTTCTCATTAAGCATACAGAGAAATTTAATACTGGAAATGTTACTATCCATAGAAAGCTGAGGGTAGGAATTGCTTATGAGTGAAGCAATGATATGTGAGCACAATATGGAATTGGAAATGAGAAGTTATATCTAAAAAATCTCCACTCTTCTTTAGATAGATTGGCCATTGCTTTATTACCTATCTTGAGCACAATGTAAGGAACCAAAGAGAAAACCTGGCAGCAACTGATCTGTCCTCCCAATGAACAGTGAATGTCAGTGGTTATATCCACATGGATACAAATATCCACTTCATAAAAAGCAAACAGCAAACCTCTGAATCAATATGAACTTTCATCACATTTTACCTTGACTGCTTCCACATGTCAAAGTGAAGCACAGCTGAGCAAATCAGCTCTAACTTACCCTTTGCCTAAAGTAATGGGATAGAAGTTTGAAGATAAAAATTCAGCAATTTAGGAAGAGGTTTTTCTTACTGATTTTATTAAAAATTATCTGTGCTAGGGGAGGGGGGTGGGGGGAAAATCATCTGTGCTCTTGGCTGAATGAGGTTTTATCTAACAAAGGACATTGCTAAACTTACCCCTTCTGTGGCTACCTTTCATTCTTTTAGTTTAAAATATTTCTTCAGCATTCCAAATATAAAGTCTTGATCGCTTTGCAGAATTCAGGCAGAAAGACCATTCAACATTTTCACGAAATTTGCACTGTGGCTAAAAATAGGTTATTTACTAGACATTTCAAAGCAGTCATGTAGCATGTGTACATAGAACATGCACACATAGTAACTGACAAACACAGGTGCATTTGTCAAACCTATTTGGTACTTCCTCTAAATTGTCTACTGACATCATCTACAACTTTTCCTACATATACAAATAGGAAACAAGTCTGCTAATGTAGTTTTTTTTTTTCTTCAGTCTCTCATTGTACCAGTGTTCAGTGGTATTAGATTTTTCCCGGCAGCCTTGAGAAAGTTATCATGGCCACCTATATTCAGTCACTATCATTCCAACTTCTTGGAAATGATTCAGAATTAGTCTACCCCCAAAATCAGCAGGTAAAACCTTTCTCCTTGAATTCTTGTCTCTCATGAGGATTTGTTGAAATTTCATTTTCAACTATGCATAATTTCTCTCCATTTCAAGTTTGTCTTACGTTAAATCCCTAGACTTTTTATTAAAATAATTCTAGCCAAAATATGTCTGATATGGCCAGAATTATATTAATTCTTTGGGAAAGACAGTGAGTAAATTTTATTAATTTATTTTTTAGAGAGGGAGAGGAGGGGAGGGGCAGAGGGAGAGGGAGAACCTTAAACAGGTTCCACACTCAGCACAGAGCCTGACGTGGGGCTTGATCTCATGACCCTGAGATCAGGACCTGAGCTGAAATCAAGAGTAGGACACTTAACTGACTGAGCCACCCAGATGCCCTGATAGGAAGTAAATTTTAAATTACTCCTATGAGGGAAGAAAGAAAAAAGCAGGTTTGCAGGCTATATAGACAAAAGAAAAGACTGGAGGTCAGTATAGCTTTGGGTATAAGAAACTCTGATTTGGGGCCCTTGGCTGGCTCAGTCTGTGGAACATGCGACTCGAGCTTGGGGTTGTGGGTTTAAGCCCCACCCTGGGTGTAGAGATTACTTAAAAAAGAAAAAATCTTTAAAAAAAATAAAATAAAAATAAAAAACTTCGATTTAGTGCTGTATAGAAGAAACCATAAGATGGAGTATAATCCTCATCAAAGGGCCAAATGACTGAGTGGCAGCAACTCTGTCAGGCTCATGTTAAAAATCCCAGGCCTTCACTCTCCAGACTCTTTTCTACTTCAAATGAATAATCTGTGACAGGATTAAGCTAATCTCACATAAAGAAGAGGACAGCTCTATGTGGAATTCATCTGGAAATAAAAACTTGATTTACATAATGACTGGCATTTGTACCATTTAAATTCTAATGTTGCAAACACCCTCCCTTCAGGTTTGCTCTCATATTCTTATTCCATGTCTCCTTTTCATTACTCCTTGAATTCCCTCATCCCCACCTGACTGACTTCTTGCTCAGCACATTGCTTCCAACACTTTAGTGTGGCTTCTAATATTTCCAGGGACCTGGAGGTTTAGTATGAATAACGACCTTTTCTTGCCTTTCCCTGTCCCTCAACTCTGACTCTCATCTTTACCCTGGGGCTGGAAGCTAAGAATAGCTTCCAGACTTGGGTTCTGCCTCAGTAATTTTCCAGCTTGTAGATCTTTTTTTTTTTTTTTTTTGGCAGTAGGACTTTTATTTATTTTTTAACTTTTTATTTTGAACTAATTTTAGACTTACAGAAATGTTGCAAAAGTAGTACACAGAGTTTCTGTATATCCCTCACCCAGCTTCTCTTTTTATTAGTATCTTACGTAACCATAGCATAATTATCAAAACTAGGAAATAACACTGGCACAATATATTATTAACTAAAGGCATTATTCAAATTTCACCAGTTTTCCACTAATGTCCTTTTTCTGTTCCACGATTCTATCCAGGTCCCTGTATTGCATTTAGTTGTTATTTCTCCTCAGACTCCTGTAGCCTGTAGGAGCTCCTCCGTCTTTGTTTGTCATGACCTTGACACTTGTGAAGAGTACTGATCAGTTATTCTGGTGAATGTCAATTTGAGTTTGTCTGATGTTTTCCTCATAATCCAACTGAGATTTCTGGGCAAGAACACCACAAAAACAATGTTGTGTCCTTCTCAGTGGATCATATCATGGGGCCCACGATATTGATATGTCTTGTTACTGACGACGCTGACCTTGATCACTTTGGTTAAAGTAAAGGTTTCTGCCAGATTTCTCTACTATAAAGTTACTCTCTTTCCCTTGGTAGTTAATAAATATCTTGGGGGAGACACTGAGACAATGCAAATCCTGTTTCTCCTCAAACTTTTGCCCACTGACTTTAGTATCCATCAGTGGATCTTGTCTGCAACAATTATCACGTAGTGTTTGCCTGAGAGTGATGTTCTATTTCCTCCCTCTTTCCTACTACATTTACTATTAGAATTCTACTGGAAGAAAGAGCTATCCCTTTTCCCCCATTTATTTACTTGAGTGATTTAATAAATATGGACTTATTTTATTCCATTGGTTATATCCAATACTATATTTTGTTGCTCACTTTGTTCCAGCTTCGGTCATTAGGATTTTCTTCAGGTTGGCATCTGTATTCTTTCAAGAAGCCCCCCAACTTTTTAAAAGCACTTTCTTGCTTTTTGGTACCACAAGATGCCCCAGGCTCCTCTTATATTTACCCTGCCCCAGACCTGGCATTACCTAACTTCTTCAGAGCCCTGGTTTCTTTTATTGGAGAATGGTGTTTATAAAACAAGATCTGAATAGTAGGCATGCTTATTGCTGTCGAAGTGTCTTTGATTTGGGGCCTTCTCAGTGAAGAGAGCTAGGAAATGCACATACATATACTAACACATAAAGATTCATCTATATTTCTGTATCTCTCTCTATATATTTATTGAAATATCTACAGATACAGATATACATATTAAAAATTGTGAGTATACGCTCATATCTCAGATTTCAATCCAGTGCCACCTGGCTCACTTTAGATTTCCCTTTCCTCATTTGTTTTTTTTGTTTTTTTTTAAAGATTTTATTTATTTATTTGACAGAGACATAGCGAGAGAGGGAACACAAGCAGGGGCAGTAGGAGAGGAAGAAGCAGGCTTTCCTGCAGAGCAGGGAGCCCGATGTGGGGCTCGATCCCAGGGTCCTG